GGAGTAGGATGATAATAATAAAAATAATAAAATAAATATGTAAATAAAGAAAGGAAGACCTGAAGTCTAATAAGTCTAAAGAGAGATATTTATATAAAGAGCCCCAGATGAATAAATTAATTACATTTAATAAGATTCTGATTGTGTTAAACTCTTTAAATTATTTGCTACCAAAGGATGTAATAAGATTAAAATTTTAACTAACAATAAAGAAAGAAAGTCATAGGATAAATAATAAGTTAAAGAAATCTAACAAGCCTATTTTTAATAAAATAATAATTGCCCCAGTTTTTTCTTTTTATCATAGAGAAAGAAGAATTATTCATTTGAAAATTCAATTCCAGTTGATAAGACTCAATATTTAAGCATAAATTCAAGTGAATTTGATCCTAAATTTGAAATCTTAATAACTAAATTGAATATAGTTCTGAAAGAATTAGACGAATAGTTTATTTATATAATACTAGATATATTATTACAATATATATATTTATATGATTGGTTGCTAGATAAAGATTCATTAGCATAAAATATAGTTGAAGATATATAAGACCCATAAAATCATATAAAATATCAATATTTAATAACATGGTAAAACTAAAAAAAAATAACTAAAGAAGTTCGAATGAAGATGGCTTTTGATAATCTTTAAAATACTAAAACATAAATAAATAAAAGAACTTCTAAAAAAGTTTAAAAAAAGTATTAAGAATTTCTAGAAAAACAAGAAAGACATTTAAATAAAGAATATTATATGGAACCTATTGAATATTTGATTTCTAAATTAATAAGGATATTTAATAAAATCATGGAGAAAAATTGATATTCATTACATTTATACAATATCGTTATTAATCTAATTTTATTTAATACTATTGAAATTAAGAAAAATAATAATAAAAGGCTATCATCAATCTTTTGTGTTATTAAATAATAATTATTATTATTTTAAGTAATTATTAATATATATTTAATATATTAAAAATTTTAATATTTTAAGGAAACTTTAATTTCATAAGTTATGTTAATCTTACCTGGAGCTAACCAATTTTCATAAACCTCTTATTTCTCTCCGAAGTCAAGAGAAATAATTATAATTTGAAAAAAATCTGCTTACATCGTTCATAAATATATTTCTTAATTTTTAAATAAAATCTAGATATTCATAAAAATTAATCAGTAGCTATTTTGAATTTATGTAATATCAAAATTTAGATAACCAAACCAAATAATTTAATTAAATTTGGAATTTGATCATATTTAAAAAATAAGAAATATATTTTTCCAAAGTTTATTGAAATAAGGAACAATAAATATGAAGAATTAGAAAAAAATTGTAATAGAATCTTAGTTTAAAGAACAAAATTATAAACAGATAGTGGTATAGGATTTTTGATGATTAAAATAATATCTTTAATTTATTTTAGGATTTTTCAAAGATGCATTATCTAATCATTTTTATGGATTAAATTAATTCTAATAAAGTCCTAATGGATCTTAGTGCCCAATATATTTTAAGATATTCCAATTAAAAAATAAATTCACATATCCTTGCTTAGTCTTGCCTATCCCTAAAATAAATGAATAATTTTTAAATATTATAGCGATAATGTGAAGTTTTATTGAAAAATTATAATTATGTTGATAAGAAAGAGTTCTTTTTCTTTATTCTTATGGAGAAAATAGAGATTAATTCATAAATATCTTTAGAAGAAATTTAATTATAGCATAATATAAGCAAGTTGCAGTTTTTCTGATCATCAAACTATATTTAATGTTTTTTTAAAGAAATGATCAACAAGTAGATATCTTTTAATCTTTGTTCTCTCACTTTTCAACTAAATCAAAAAGATTGAAACCAAGAAATATTGTGAAAATTATCAGCCTTTTGAAACATTGAGGGAGTTATAATATTTGTAAATCATTTATTCCAATAAATACTAAATTATCTATTGAAATGAACGGTGGACTTGAGAATTTCTTATATCACTAATTAGAATCTAAGGATTCTAAGTAGCATATGAAACATTTATAATCAAATTTATTATGTAAAATCATTTAAATCTTCAGTTATTTAAAAATTCTTTCTAATGTAATTTACTGATAAGTATAATAATAATTAATATTTTTTAAGATGAAATAAACCTAAAATAAATTTAATTTTGCAGAGTCAATGACATTGAAGAATACCAAGGAATATCAAATTGTTAAATGGAATTACCACAAAAAATAATTTTAGAATACTAAAATTTATATTACAATTATCCAGGATAATTAACTGGTGTACTCTTTCGATGGAGTAATATTAAGAAAGTTAATTATAATTTCTAAGTTTAATTAGACAATTAATATAAGATGAGCCCTAGAATCTAAATATTTTGACAAATATTGAATAAATAAAACGACTTAAATGGTTAGGGGAATATGGAATGGACAAGAGAAAATAAGGTAAGTGGATAGCTATTTGGAATGGAGAAGTTCTCAGTGATATTGGAGGGTATTTTGAAAATGGATTAAGGAAAGGTTTATGGAAAGAACTTTTTAAAAATTACTGTAGGTAAATGCTCATTAAGTAATTTAAAAATAGTCAAGCCAAAGTTTTTGAAAGTGGAGAATACTAGAATGATAAAAGAATTGGAATATGGATATATATCTATGATAACAATAAAATGTATTATTAAAAATATAATTAGTGGAGGTGGATAATATAATGAAGAAGGTTAGAAGAATGGGAAATGGATTGAGTTGAGTGATGATTTTAATTGTAATTCTTAACTCACTTATCATGGAGAATATAGAAATGGTCAAAAAGTTGGTAAATGGGATATTTGGTATTAGAATTAATAAATTGGAAAGAATGAATAAATGTAATCTTTTATCTAAAAGGAAAATATTATAGTGGTTGTGGATAGTATGATGAAGGTTATGAAGAGTAAAAAATTGGAAGATGGATTGAGGTTAGTGATAAGTTCAATGACTCATCTTAAGTTACTTATAAGGGTGAATATAAAAAGGGTAGAAAAATTGGTAGATGGGATATTTATTTCAGTCATAAAGGAGTAAATAAATAGATGTATAATTATATTATTTATTATTAAAAACATATTCTATAGTGGTGGTGGAGAATATGATGAAAGAGATGAGGGAATTAAAACTGGAAAATGGATAGAAATGAGCGAAGGGTTTTATGAGTCATAATAAGTAATGTTTATAGGCGATTATAAAAATGGCAATAAAGTTGATAAATGGGATATTTATTTCAACAATAAAGGATAAAATGAAAAGATGTAGAATATCATTAATATTATATGAAAAATTGTAGTGGTGGAGGATAATATGATGAAGGTGGTGAAGGGACTAAAATTGGAAGATGGATTGAAATAAGTGATGACTTCGATGACTCTTCTTAAGTTACTTATAATGGTGAATATAAAAAGGGTAGAAAAATAGGTAGATGGGATATTCATTTCAAAATTACAGGAAGGAATGAGCAGATGTAAAATTATACTTAAATATTATTTAAAAATCTATTAGACGTGGACAATAAAATAACGAAGGAAGCGATAGAACAAAGATTGCGAGAAAAAGTAAGACTAAGTGATAGTTTTTTTAAGTAATTTCAGATAAAAATAGTAAAAAAGCTGAAAAATAGGACATCCCAGATATAAAAGTAGGAAATGAGTAGATGTAAAAATATATATGTTAAATTTATCAAAAATGATGTAGAGGTGGATCCTATGATGAAAGAGGTGAAGAGTTGAAGATTGGGAAATGGGTAGAGTTGAGTGATTCTAATTCATAAATAACTTAAATAGGCGAATACAAAAAAGGTTAAAAAGTTGGTAGATGGGATATTTATTTTAATAATGGAGTAAATAATAGGATGTAAAATTATTAAATTAAAAATGATTTATAAATGATTCAGTGGTGGTGGATTATATGAAGATGGTGAATACGGTTTAAAGATTGGTAAATGGATTGAGTTGAGTGAAATTAATACATAATTAACTTACATTGGTGAATATAAAAAAGGGTAAAAAGTTGGTAGATGGGATACTTATTTCAATTATTTCGGAAATAAGTAGATGTAAATATCAATTATGTGAACTAGGTAGTGGTGGAGGATTATATGATGAAGAAGGGGAAGGAATTAAGATTGGAAGATGGATTGAAGTGAATGATGAATTTTTTGATTCATCCTAAGTAACGCTTCATGGTGAATATAAAAATGGGTAAAAAGTTGGCAGATGGGATATTTATTTCAATTATGGAGTAAATAAAAAGATGTAAAATAATAATTAATTATATAATTGTTTTAGTGGCGGTGGTTCATATGATTAAGTTAGTGTTGGGATCAAAATTGGGAAATGGATTGAGATAAAGGATAATTTTAAATGGGCTTTATAAACTACTTTAAATGGAGAGTATGAAAATGGTAAGAAAATTGGGACATGGATAGAAATGCAGGGAAATATAAAAAGTAAAGAAATAATCTTTGAACATTGAATATATATTATAATATAAGATTAAATGTGATATGTTATCAATATTTTTTTTGAAAATGAATGTATCATTCATCAAATAAATTTAATTTCCAATAATAATACATAAATATAGTTTGTGAATGAAAAATAATTTTTATGAATAATTAAATTTAAATATCTACATTCAATAACATTAAAATTAACTAATGGTAGTGAAAATATTATTTGAAGTGGAAAGGTTTTAAAGAAGGTTAATATACTTTAATAAAGAGCTATGAAATTAAAATTGATGACAGCAAGTTGATATCAAAAAATATTGTATTTGACATAGGCCATGTTCCTATAAAATCCATTCAATATTCAGTGATGATTTCTAAAAGATTTATAAACAAATTACAATCCTCTTTGCTTGACAAAATACTAGATTATAACATCATTTAGATACGCTCATTTATTTGATTAATACCTTAATCCTAAGTTATAGAGGATTGCTTATTAACAACATAAAAGATGGGTATCTAAATAAGATTTTAATGAAAGAGTTTAATCTTTTCAATTATTATTGGAGTGTAATTCTATTTTGTACTTAATTTTTTATTTTTTTAAAACCATTTAATATTAAAGGTTAAAGTGACGGAAATTATTTTAGAATATTTTTTATTAAAAATTCTTCGATCTTGCTTTCTAAGTAAGGTTAAAAAAAGTAGATTAAATTCACTTTCGTTTGTTTAATTTCTTAGCAGTAAATTTTCTAGATAAATATAATCTTTAAATTGAGAGGAATTTGTCAATACCCTCGAAACAGCAATTTATTATGAAAAATTTTTCTTAACTTTCTTTATTGTATAAATATTGACATCGAAAAAGAAACCAAATAAGTTAATCACATTATTTTTTTTTAAAAAGAATTTGAGTCACTATAAAGAATGATAACCTAATAATGTATTCAAACGACAGTCATATTTTGAGAAAGTAAGAAGATCAATTTAAAGTTTAGAGTAAATCTTTAGGACTATTAAAATAATCTTGATTAATATTTTAGAATATGGAATAAATCTATATTTAGAATAATAAAATGGATATATATAGTATAACATTAGAAAAAATAGTATCCTACAACAATGGAGTAAAGTAAATTTTATGGAACAAATTTTTAAGAATTATTTGAAAAATCTTTAAGCTTTAATATATAATATGAGATATAGTTTTATGAATAATTCTAAGGGAAATGGATTATATTATAAAAAAATTACTCAATATTTTTTGTAGATTAATCAGAAATGCAGGATCATATGATGAGGGATTAATAATGATTTAAGTGGGAGAAAACATGGTCAACAGTCATTTTAACTCAAACTCCTTCATGAAAATACTGATGGGATTGACAAGAACAAAACATTTTTTGTGTGTATCTCAAAAAAATCTTGCCAAAAAATACTAGAAATAGTTATATATTATATTATCTTCTAATAAAAAAAGAAAAAGCAGAATATTTCTTCTCAAAAATTCTTTAAGAATATAAGGCAGTTTAAATCTAGAAATGATTTGAATCATTTTTAGATTAAATACTTATATTAAATTCCTAAATACACAAAACCAAGTTAATGCCGATAAAATCTCTATTACTAACTCCTTAATCTTCAAATTTAATTCTAAAAAAATTAAATTTGGAAAACAAGAATAAATTTATTAAACAATATTAAATTAAAACAACTTATAATTAAAATCCTCAAGAAAATGGAGTAATAAATTAGGAATTCCAGAAAAAAAATTCAAATTTAATGAATTTAAAGATTAGCTAGCATCTTAGGGGAATACAATTGACTGAAAATATTAATAAAAAACTTTGATAACAAAAAGAGATATAATACTTTTTTCTGTAATAAAAAGAATTTCAGATNCCATTCAATATTCAGTGATGATTTCTAAAAGATTTATAAACAAATTACAATCCTCTTTGCTTGACAAAATACTAGATTATAACATCATTTAGATACGCTCATTTATTTGATTAATACCTTAATCCTAAGTTATAGAGGATTGCTTATTAACAACATAAAAGATGGGTATCTAAATAAGATTTTAATGAAAGAGTTTAATCTTTTCAATTATTATTGGAGTGTAATTCTATTTTGTACTTAATTTTTTATTTTTTTAAAACCATTTAATATTAAAGGTTAAAGTGACGGAAATTATTTTAGAATATTTTTTATTAAAAATTCTTCGATCTTGCTTTCTAAGTAAGGTTAAAAAAAGTAGATTAAATTCACTTTCGTTTGTTTAATTTCTTAGCAGTAAATTTTCTAGATAAATATAATCTTTAAATTGAGAGGAATTTGTCAATACCCTCGAAACAGCAATTTATTATGAAAAATTTTTCTTAACTTTCTTTATTGTATAAATATTGACATCGAAAAAGAAACCAAATAAGTTAATCACATTATTTTTTTTTAAAAAGAATTTGAGTCACTATAAAGAATGATAACCTAATAATGTATTCAAACGACAGTCATATTTTGAGAAAGTAAGAAGATCAATTTAAAGTTTAGAGTAAATCTTTAGGACTATTAAAATAATCTTGATTAATATTTTAGAATATGGAATAAATCTATATTTAGAATAATAAAATGGATATATATAGTATAACATTAGAAAAAATAGTATCCTACAACAATGGAGTAAAGTAAATTTTATGGAACAAATTTTTAAGAATTATTTGAAAAATCTTTAAGCTTTAATATATAATATGAGATATAGTTTTATGAATAATTCTAAGGGAAATGGATTATATTATAAAAAAATTACTCAATATTTTTTGTAGATTAATCAGAAATGCAGGATCATATGATGAGGGATTAATAATGATTTAAGTGGGAGAAAACATGGTCAACAGTCATTTTAACTCAAACTCCTTCATGAAAATACTGATGGGATTGACAAGAACAAAACATTTTTTGTGTGTATCTCAAAAAAATCTTGCCAAAAAATACTAGAAATAGTTATATATTATATTATCTTCTAATAAAAAAAGAAAAAGCAGAATATTTCTTCTCAAAAATTCTTTAAGAATATAAGGCAGTTTAAATCTAGAAATGATTTGAATCATTTTTAGATTAAATACTTATATTAAATTCCTAAATACACAAAACCAAGTTAATGCCGATAAAATCTCTATTACTAACTCCTTAATCTTCAAATTTAATTCTAAAAAAATTAAATTTGGAAAACAAGAATAAATTTATTAAACAATATTAAATTAAAACAACTTATAATTAAAATCCTCAAGAAAATGGAGTAATAAATTAGGAATTCCAGAAAAAAAATTCAAATTTAATGAATTTAAAGATTAGCTAGCATCTTAGGGGAATACAATTGACTGAAAATATTAATAAAAAACTTTGATAACAAAAAGAGATATAATACTTTTTTCTGTAATAAAAAGAATTTCAGATTAAGTAACAATAGTTTTGTGAATTTTATAAAGTTATTTTGAAAAGTAACTGATTAGGGTAATCCTGAAAAATCCAAAACTTTGAATCAATAGTCACTTAATGAAAATACTTCTAAAATCTTTTAATAGAAAAATAAGCATTTTTCATAACAAAAGATGTTGATATAAAAATTAGTTTTATCAATCCCTTATACTCGAAGATCAAGGAATAAGCTAAAAGATTCTTACTCAATAGTCAGATTTATTGAATTTTGTTTTGTAAATGTTTATTTAGGTCGTTACCTTTTTTCAAAGTTATTGTCAAAGTTAAACACTTATATATTCATTTTCAAGTGTCATAAATATGAGAATAAGTATTTTTAATCATTATTGCATTCAAAAATGATGTGAAAGTGAAAATATTAAAAATAATTTCTGATTATCAAATGCAAATGTCAAGTAATTATAATCTTGATAAGTAGAAAAAATTAAATATGATTATTTGTATAATTGACATCTATCACGCTGAATTTGATTGCAATTTTTATATAAGATATTATAATATTCTAGGTCCATAAAATTAAGTTATTTATTAGTAAATATAATTAGATTAGGTATGTAGTTTATTAAACAACTAGATATTAACAACTACTTTAGGCAGTAATTTATATAGGATCTAAATAATAATTATTTGTTATTGATCATTAATTTTTAAGAATATTTATTTGTTCAAAATCTATTTATCTATCAGAGTTCTTTTTCCAAGATAGTCGAAGTAATTCTTAAAAATAATATCACATTAAAGATCTCCTCTAAGATTATATGTAATATATCTGTTATTCTTACTAAACTTTTTAAGAAACTAGAAGACATTTAATTTATAAAATAGAAACATCTTCTAAAAGTTAAATTAGATTAATAGAGGATTATAATTGATTTTTTTTTAGTCTATAAAAGTATTTTAGTACAAAATTAATAGTATTTTGAGTTGAGAACTGTGAATAATTATTAAATTATAGACTTTAATAGAGAGGAAACCTATTCAATAATTATTAAAATTAATAACACAAAAATACATGTTGAAATGAATCAACAACTTAACTTGTATTTTTAATATTTAACCTAAAAATAAGAATATTATTTATACTAAATAAATAACATGGGGAAGAATAACATAAATTATTTTATCAAGATCATTCAAAAAATTAGATTTTGATTTGTCCCTCAAAGCCAAGTTAAAATATATTGATGGCTGATTAAAGGTTCAAGATTCATAANAAATTAGTTAAGCTAATGAATTATCCTTAAATTTTATTTTGAATGCAGTTTCTCTTCTTTTGGCTCGAATTTATTTATGCATCTAATACAAAGTTTAATTCTTTATATATAAAATAAAGAGCCATTTCGTTTTTGTATGAGATAAACAAATTTTAGTTAAAATTAATGATATGAACATTGGGAACCAACTATTTAATTTTTTAATTTTTTGTAAGTAGAATTGGATAAGCATATTTAAGGAAATTTTAGAATCATCTTAGTAAATATTAATAATACCTATAGTTTATCTAGAAAATTGTAAACTAAAATATTGA